GCTAGCCGAGTCCTCTTCAAAAATTGCATACATAGTGGGAACAGGTAGTTGGTTTCTGCCGGCAATGATAGGAGTGGGAATGGCCACAGCTCTCTTTCTTCCTGTACTAAACAAGGGTCGTATTTAGGGGCTGCACACACAAATGAGAGACGGCATGGGAGGTGGCCTTATCCTCGTGACATAGTCGAGTCTGTGATCATTACTGTGCCTGAGTTTGTGGCATGGGAGTGAATTATGGGCGAGGGGTACCCAAAAATACATTTGTTTCTGCTTTTTGTCGGCTCGGGATGTCGCTTTATATGGTGCTTGTGCGGTGTATGTTTGTAGATGTTATTAGTTTCTACCGTGTTCTTCACACGTTTAACTTTTTTGTTGGCATTGATGAGTGGCTGTGGCTTTTCTACGTTGTTGGATTGACTGCCCATGGGGGGTCCTTTGGGCGTTGAGTTCAGCCTTCGACACTGCTTTGGGGTCCTTGCTACTCAGCTCCTCGCATTGTTTACGACTTACCTAATCGCTTATAAACGGTGAATTCAATTCGGTTGACCCACAGGTTTCAAGCTTGGGAGCGTGGTACTTGGTAGAAGTTTGCTTAGAGGATATTGCAGTATGCTCAGGAACGATGGTGCTCGAGGTCCTTATCATATGAGATTAGCTGTCGAGGTTCACTTCGAAGTGCCCAGCTACCACATTAGATAAGTTATCTTTTAGCTTTTGTCTGAGAACCCCTAACCGAAATAGCCGTCTGAGTTGGTGTTGGTGACGAATGATCATTAAGGGACCTCTGTTAAGGCGTGCGATCTGGCTTAATTATTAGGTCTTTGAACTCAGTCCGCCGGGCTATGGTGAGCTACTTAGTCAACAATCGGTTCGCGGATTCCTCGGTTGAAAATTTAAAAAAGATCGGGTAGCAGCGTTTCGGTGTTTTCTTTCTCAGACGGTGGCATTTGCATTCGATCTCAGACATGTTGCAGGCCCTGAGTACTGCAATTTTAACTTTGTCCAAACTAAGTCTATCAGGGATGTTATAAACGATGACATTTTCCTATATATGCATTCATTCATGTACCTCAAATGCCACTGATGCCGTTAACTGTCCTGCCCTTCCCATTTGGGCTGGATCAAGGCTTTCCAATGGGTTACTGACATAGTATAATGAAGCCAGGTGGTATTTGAGTGGTTCGATCATGGTCACTATGTTTCTCATTTTGGAGAGTTGAGATTCCAGGAAGTTGACCTTACTACTGAGTTCTGAAAGAAGAGTAGCATTGGGGTCAGTACTGGCTCGCATTTCACTTGGGGCCTCAGGTTTCGTTGGCTTCGTTCGGGCGGTTTAAGAAACACTACTTTATGCTTGTCGAATTACACTAGATTTTGTGGGTACCATAATAAAGTCAACTGTACTCATGCGAAGGCTAGATGAAGTAGCTAGGGACGCCTAATGAATAAAACGACTTAATAAAGCTCAGGTGCTTGAGCTACGGGAATGTTTTCGATACAAAAGTAAGCGGATGCGATAAAAGTCAAGTCAGTTTTTGGGCCGTTTCTGTACATTCATTTGTCTGTGCAACTAACGCGAAACAGTTCTTTTATTTTAGTAACAGTTAAGTACTCTTTTAGTTACATCTTAAATGTCCGAAGCGAAGATGAACTTCTCTTAGCCTGAAACAATCTATTCCATGGCGTAGGATTTTTTGTGTATATCAGTCGACGATCAATTTTGACTAATAGACATAAATTTAGTCTTAATCTCTGAATTCATAGCGATTCGATTTTTAACAAATGGTATCTATCTTAGAGGTGCAGTCCACAAGACTTTTCGTAATAAACCTCTGTACTTTCGAGTGCACTCGTGTTGCATCTTCTAATGCGACTACAAGTGGTGGCACAGTATTCTAGTAATTGTCTGACATGTAGGTTGAATGACAGGACCTTAACATCGCTTGTTCTAAACAAACGGCATACCATTCCAACAGTGTCGTCTTTTAGCCACCGTATGCTCAACTGGTTTTTGGAAATCAACTAACCTGAATGACGGTGGCCTAAGGCACATATCGAACCGCAAAGAGGGAGTGAGATTCCATGCAAAAAAAGACAAACATTTAGGTTGAACCATGCATCCATAACACAAGATGCTGCATTTAAATTCCATAGAAGATCCGACACACCATACTTTCAGTGAAAATAGGTCACTTTGGATCGCAGGTATAATAGCAAGATATTGGGATTCAGTGGCGTACCAAAGTTTATATCGTCTGTAAACAGATAAGGTCTACAATATCTTATTGCAGGAAGAAGATTATTTACATATATCAAAATAAGAAGAGGGCCAATTAAACTACCCTGCGACATTCTACTAGTATCTGGGTGTTCGGAAAGTAATTACGTTTTGTCGATAAAAATGAAGGATGATTTTTACAGTAAATGAATATTTTAGTAATTTACATATTCGCCATTCTAATACAATACCTTTTGCCATCTTTCTGGCGGTAGCATGATTCCAAGCACATAATGTTATTTTTCTTTGTTGGCAAAAAAATTGATGTAAGTGCTTTTTGACCTCCTCATTTGAGGTAAAGGTTTTGCCGTGTAAAAGTTCTGTAGGGACGCGAACAAATAATAATCAGTAGGTGCCAGATCTAGAGATTTGGTGGGTGTGGTAGTTCATACCATCCAAGCTTTAAAAGCTTTTTTAGAGTTAGCAAACTTTTATGATATCTCGCATTATCTTGGTGGAACACCAAACCTTATTTATTAATCAATTCTGGCCCTTTCTGTTTATGTGAATCATGCAATTGGTATATCTGATGACAGTACACTTCAGAGTTGATGGTTGTGTTGTCCGGTAGAAGCTCGAAATAAACGATTCCTTTGAAATCCCACCAAAGTAACTGTATCAACTTTTTGGTGCATATCAGCTTTTGAAGTATTTGAGCCGGTTCATCTTTCTCACTCCATGATCTCTTACGTTTAACATTATCGAAGACAACCCAATTCGCATCCTCAGGGATGACGCGCTTCAAAACGGGTCCTTTTCTTGACATTTGAGAAGTAAATCACAAACGTCAACGCAATGACAATAGCTTTCAGTAAGAACATGAGGAACCCATATGTCGAGCTTTGAAATTAAGCTTAGGCTTTTCAGCTAATGAACAGTCGAATTCGATGAATTTACTCTTACCAGGAGTTCACGAATTGTATTTCGTCGGTTCGCAACAATTACTGTAAATTAATTAATTATTACACGCACTTAATTAATTAATACAGCTAATTAATTAATTTATGACGGATAACAATTTCGCAAATTTTAGCACCGGCGTTCTGTCAATGCAGCTTCTCCATACACCTCCGCTAATTTTCCTCGTTTGAATGGCGTTTCTACATACTCGATGGGAAAAAAGTAAACTATTACTCGTGAATAGCAGGGTTTTAGATGCAAGCTTTTAAGGTGTTCATCCCAGTGGTTCATAAGCTACATAGCAAAGCTTAGTCCGGACAAGAACTGGACGTGTTTCGCCCTATTGCGGCTCGTCAGTGGTGCGCATGCCCTCGTTCACCTACTGGGGATCGAATTCAGGACCGTTAGAGGCAGATGCCAACTAGCCAGCAGCTTAAGCCACTGAACCTTGGGGGACGTTGGCTGCTCTACATAATTTGCAATCTAGCTGGGATATACAGCCTGTCCCAATACCTTGGTCACTCTACTCTGTTACTGCGTGTCAAAGGCTTACTTCTCCGGGTGTGAGGTAGAGCGCACTACATTAACAACTGTCCAGCAGTAGATGTTGGTCAATCACAAAATGTCTCACCCGGTCACATTAGTGTCAAACGCCAGCATCTATGCACGTGAGCAAATGTGTACTTGCCAATGTCGTCCATCGCGAAAACGTTAGATCATGCGCGGGTGGTTGAGTTGGAGTCAACCTACGGCACGCCATAAGGCAAGTTCATGGACCGACACTTACGCTGTGTAGGGCTGGTTCGAATGAAGACAGGTGTGAAAATGGAAACAGTGGTGCCTCATAACCCGGCTACTACGGTAGAATTGTGATGGCGCTTCGACAGGCGTAACTGGCCTGAGCAAAGAGTGTGCAATACGTGCTTAATGTTATATCAGGGTTATTGGCAACTCTCTTGTATCATCATCATCCTCATACACGTTAGCTAGAGGTGGGGAACACCTCAGTTACTGTGACGCAACACACACAAAAAAAGAGAAAAAAGGCAAATGTTACAAGCCCGCTGAGCTGTCGGTAAAGGATGGGCATCGTTCCGGCAAGCTATCAGCCGGCTATCGTGCACCAAAAAAATTACTATGCAAAATAATATAAGGCTGAATAATGAGATCGTGGTTGGAGGGGGAGACTAAGAGGGAAGGGGTGGAACAAAGAAACTCACAGCACCAACGCCACTCAGGTCGGCTCCGTGCCATGTCAGCAAGTGTATCCAGCCAAACGTGTGCATCGTCTTTCGGACCCCAACCAGGGAGCCGAGACACTCCAACCGAGGCCAGATCAGAAGTGAGGGCCTTCATACCTCTCGATCAACTCATTGCTTGGCCACCTCTCCTCTTCTTCCATCCACACCCCCGGCGCGCAAACAACGCACGTCGCGGGAGTCGGTGGGCTGGCATGAGTAACATGTGGCCGAGCCATCGGAGCCTGGTGCGTGAAATGGCGGTGCTGAGCGGTTCATTCCCTGCTTCTATGCAATAAACAAAGCGTCGAACACGATCGTTGCTCACGCTGTGTTCCCACCAGATGTGAGCTAAATTGCGAAGGCACCGGTGATCGAACGGAACTAGCCTCTTCAGGTCCGCTGCAAAATAGACATTCCTTACAATTAGGCATTGAAAATATGAAATGTGACGTTTTGAGAAAGGAGCCTTGAAAAGTTATTCCGCCTAAAGAATACTCGCTGCTGCATAGCTTATTCTCCCATCGCAGTATTGATCATCGTTGCAGGAAACAAGTGTGGTTACGCTGCCCATTTTGTTTCAGGCGGGACCATGAGTGTTCATTCCAACATGTTCACTGATGACGCAATATTCCATTCGCACGGAACTGAGAAGCTGCCTTGCTCGGCAATGTCTAATCCACGAGGATACTGAGAATCACGTATTGCACAAAGCGCGAAGCTCAATGATTTGAAAAAATGAATGGCAAATCGTGGGACCACAACACACGCATGTGAGTTCTCAAACATACTGTGCACCACAAGTCCGTTATCCCTGTGATAGCTTTTCTGACACATGCTGCAAACACACCTTTGGCTCAAATCTGGCGATCGGGTAGGCCAATCCCTTGGACATCTGTGACCGATTCACCGGTGACTGAACCCTTCCTTAAGATGAGGCCACACAGTTTGTGCATAATGGGCAGGTGCGCCATTTTGAATCTATAAAAGCTGAAGCGAAATAGCCAGCGATAATCGGTGGTGAAACATCTCTACCTTGTGGCTCCTACGTAATTTGCCAGCGGCAGTTCGCTTACCACTGGAGAACCATGATAGTAAGAAGAATGGTGGTAATCATAATTGGGTTATCTGGCCAACACGAGGTTAACGTCATTTGGGCAACGGAAGTACGTGACTCTGGCTTGCAAGAAGCGCATAACGCAGCCTACTGAGCTTCAACGGTTTCGTCCACTGCCGTCAACTTTACAGTAAACACCGACAGCGTCGCCTGCACCCTGTCGGGCAATTGAGCGATCGGGAGTTTCTCACGGACCCCTCTCGTTCTACTTTCTCCCAGCGTTCCTTCAACCCCGACGAATATTCGCACCATTACCCATCGCAACAATGTGCGAGTGAAGTCAATCGCTACGCAGTATACATCTATTTACATGAAGAATGTTTCAAGAGCATGAAAACCAACGAAATGCATGTTCAAAATGACCACCGTCGTTTTGCTTGCAGTGCAGTACTCGCCGGATGCTATAGGCCAGCACTTTCTGCAAATTGCCCCCCCCCCCCGAGATACCGCGATATTCTTTGACGGTGTTCCGTTTCAGTTCCTCCAGACAAGTTGACCTGGTTTTATACACTCGGCATTGAATGTAACCCTATAGGAGGAAATCTAATGGGTTCAAATCAGGAGACCTTGTAGACCAATCAATAGGTCCTCCAAGAACGATCCAACGGCTACCGAAAGTTTCCTTAAGGTAACCACATACCGTTTGCGCGGAATGGGCGGCAGCACCATCGTGCCGCCACAGGCTGGCATGCCAAACTAGTGGCTGGCTTGCTGAAATACTTCTTCGTGGTGCCAGCTGGGTGGTTCGGGTGTACCCCGTTCCAGCAAAGTGTTCGGCGACAATGTTCCACCTCCGTGGGGCATTGTTTTCCAGCAATTGTGCTGAATTCATGGGGAGTATTGGACCCCTGTTTGGTATTCTACCAAACAAAGCCGTATGAGCTGATCATCCAGTCATCGCCTTCCACTGGGCGTGATTCCCTAAATTCGCTCCGCTGCCTTGCGGGTAGATTATTTAGCTAAAGGCTGGGGGTGGAGTCCCCTAAGTCAACTTCCTACTTCGGTTTGGGCAACCGGGTAGTATCACACCCTCTCGCAAAACCACGGACTGTATTACAACTTGTTCATCCGCTGCTGTTTGTGTTAGTCACTTTCACGCGCCTTCATCACACGCCAATTGTTTGTCTGCTAACAATCCTCACTTTCCGTTACCCAATTCATGTGCTCAACAATCTGGCTGCGATTTCGGTTGCTCCGCAGACCAAGAAGTTCAACCTATGGCTCTCCTTCGTCTCCGATCCTCGTTCCGTCTGATGTGCTTCAACGTTCGGACACTCATGCAGAATGGACAGCAAGCCGGTCTAGCGCGCACCCTAGATTCCCTAGACATTGATGTCTGCTGCCTTTCAGAAACCCGATTGCAAATCCCAATACTGTGCTTGCACGGACATCCCTCACTGACCACGAAGTCAGATTTCACCCGTGTCCTTCTGGATATTCAGAAGCAGTTTTAGCTGGTCTGGCTGGTGTACGTATAGCACTAAGTGACAAGGCCGAGGCGGCACTACTGGACTGGTTCCCGACTAACAGCCGACTATGTGCAGTTCGACTTTGGGGTTCATGTAGGATCAACAGGTACCGCGAAGAGAGACGCAACTGGTTTGTGATCTCTGTGTACGCTCCAACCGACGGCAGTGGCGACTCGGTCAAGGACGATTTCTACCGAGATCTACAACAGCTCTTGACTAATGCTAAAAGTCGGATGTCGTTATCCTTGCTTGGGAATTTAATGCACGGGTTGGCCGTCTGTTACCATACGAACGCCACCTTGGTGGTCATCACTCGCTCGACGAGAACCGCTCTGATAACGGAGAGAGACCTCTCACATTGTGCGAAAATAACCGTCTGTTTATTTCAAGCACTAACTTCAGGCGTACGAAGAAGCGTTGCACAACGTGGCGTCCCCTTCCTTCAACACAACCATGGTCTCAAATTGATCACATTGCGATTAGCTTCATATAGCGCGGCAGGGTACTGGACTGCAGGTGCTTTTGGTCCACTTTCGTTGACTCAGATCATGCTCTGGTCCGCGCGAAATTCTGTATGTGTTTTGGAGGATCCCGAAACACGAAGTACCGCAAGATCGATGTAAACACCTTAACTGATTCCTCTGTCCAGACGAGCTATCAGTCTTCAATGGCATATGCACTCAGTTGCAATCCACCGCAAGAAGTGGAACAACACTGGACTTGTATACGGAAGCCAATGACCATTTCCGGACAGTCATGTTGCGGTCTAACTCGACGCCCCTTAAAGGCTTCGATCTCTGCTCGTTCTCTGGAGCTGTTCGAAAGCCGCAAAGATATCCCGGCGGAATCAGATTGCAACGAGCGGCGCTGTTCTGCCAACCGGTTGCTCAAGCAAAGCCTACGCAAGGGTTGCGAGACATGGTGGTCTGAGCGTGCATTAGAGATGGAGACCACTGCCCTCTCTCGCAGCACTGGAAGGCTTTTCCAACTCATTCGGTCCACTGGCCTCAGGAAGCCTGGTGTCAGTGAGGTCATTTGTGAGGTGGATGAGTCTCCGATCACCAACCAACAGAGGCGTATGGACCACTGGGCCGAACACTTTCACTCGCAGTTCAACTGGCCTCCACCATCCATCAGTACATGCAGTACACCTTGTTGTCCACCCTAACTCGTCCCATTGAATCCACCCAGTGATGCGGAATTCTGCCTCGAGATTCGACACTTGAAGCGCTTCAAGGCTGCCGGCTTAGACGGACTTCCTCCGGAGCTATTCAAGTATGGCGGTGTGGCGATTATTAACCAGCTGACCGCGCTGTTCGCAAAAATTTGGCATGAAGAGAACGTGCTTTCCGCCTGAGACGAATCAGTTATTGTCCCGATTTTCAAGAAAAGCGCTCGCACTTCATGTGCAAATCCTCGAGGGATTAGTCTTATTTCGGTTGCGTCTAAGCTATTGGCATCCATTCTGCTTCGCAGGCTATTCCCAGTCCGTGAATCATACTACCGTAAAGAACAAGCTTGTTTCCGTCCTGTCTGCGGATGCGTGGATCAAATCTTCACGCTCCGCCAGCTCCTCGAACATCGCCACATTTATCACAGGCCCACTATCATTGCATTCCTAGACATACGTGGCGCTTTTGACTCCGTTGGTCGACCTGCTTTATGGCGTTGATTACTAAAGAAAGGGGTGCCAGAGAAATATACCGCCATCTTACGAGCACTTTACCTTCATACATCCGGCAGAGTGAGGGTCTATGGCAAGCTTTCCTGCAATTCGCTGTCAATAGCGGTGTGCGACAGGGCTGTCCCATGTCCCCATTCCTCTTCAACTTCGCAAGCGAAGACGTTCTGTCCAATGCGCTAGAAGGTTTCCAACATTTTGTCCTAGAGCTTCTACCGGGTGAGCGCGCGACCGACTTAGATGATGCTGATGATATCGCCTTACTTGGTGACGATCCTCAGAGTATGCAACTCATTCTGGATCGTTTGGCGGTTGAAGCATCTAAGTATGGCATGAGCTTCGCCCCATCGAAGTGTAAAGTACTGCTCAAGGATTGGCTTTCACCTGCTCTCGTGCTCACTCTCCAAGGTGCACAACTTGAACAGGTAGATAGTTTCGTCTACCTTCGGAGCTGCGTTTCTACTGATGGCACTATCAACAAAGAAGTTTCTCTTCGTATCGCTAAAGGTCGATCAGCATTTGTCAATCTGAGGCACTTGTGGCGTAGTCGCGATGTCTCATTCTCACTAAAGGGCCGCGTTTACAGCGCATCAGTTCGCTCAGTATTGTTGTATGGGAGGGAGTCCTGGTCAATTCGCGTGGAAGACATGCGTCGTCTTTCTGCCTTCGATGACGGTTGCTTAAGGAGGATCGCTCGTGTTTGGTGGCAACATCGAGTTAGTAGTAATGACGTTCGACGTCGCATCTTGGGGAATGCGAGTATTTCCTTCAACAAACTGGTTTTGTTGCGCCAGTTAAGATGGCTCGGTCATGTCCTACGCATGGCACCTGAGCGTCTACCGCGTCGCGCTCTGTTCGCTCGTCAAGGACCTGGCTGAAGACGACCGCGTGGTGGTCAGCCTTTCACTTGGCGGCAGCACATGAAATCGGTGACATCGTGTCTAGCCGCTGTTGGATTCGTACGTCTTCAAGGATGGGGACCCAAAGTTGAGGAGTGCCAATGGCATAGCACTCTTTAAGACATGGTTCGCAACCGGAATCAGTGGAGTAATTGTTTACAGTGTTGTATTGCTTCACATGTTTAATACTACAAACATTGAAAATGACAAAAGAAGTGAAAAATCGGCGTGTGAAAAACAAACTAAAAATGTTTTGTCCTACTTTTTATCAAAATGTTCCATTCTTCCTGCGGCATATTATTTGAAGTGTGTTGCTCACCTTCGACTAGCGTGCCACGATGATTATGACGCAATGTCTGCCTCCTATCCACTGATTTCCATGGCTTTGTTTGCTCTATGTCTAGTTGGTAGACTGTTGAGATTACATACATACATACCTGCCGCGACTAAACGGTACTCAATACGCCTTCGGCCTGCAGCTGTGGAATGACCCTTGGCTGCAACATTTCTTTGTACGAGGATGCTAAGAAATGTGAGGCATTTTTTCTATAACATAAATCAAGTTACCCGTCACATTTTGGATAAGAAAAATTGTCCGACAATTTTT